TTCTCAAGAGCCAGTCTCCTGCAAGTTTTACATTTGTCCCTGCTTCAACACAGCTGAAACTAAGGAGTGCTTAATTAGTGGGTCTCTGCAGACCTTGATGGCAAACAGAAGGTAAATCATCTCTTTGAATCAGCTGTGTTGAAGCAGGGACAAATGTAAAACTTGCAGGAGACTGGCTCTTGAGAAAATAAGTTGGACATGCCTGCTCTTATGTATTCTGGCAGACTTCAGCTATCACACAGGACAAGCTGAGTCAGTGCTTGGTTTCTTAAATATACAGTAATATTTATCACACCGTTACCCTGAAAAGCACTGACATTTATTGAAAACATAGAAATACCATTTTTCTTTTATGCTAAATTTATGCAAAACAACAATAAATGTGTATTGAACACATATAAGCAGCATTACACTACTGCTTACATTAAAAACACATTTCACTCATAAACATTTAACAAATTACAAAAACTATTTCCCAATACTTTTATGATATGCAGACATATTTAATAAAACCTCAACAAATCATGCATCTCTGAATACACTGTTCAACACAAGAATCCTGTCTGAATCCAGTTTTCTGTTTTGAAATGTTTTCTTTGAATAGCTGCAGGTTGTGGTTTGTTTTCTGCAGCTCTGAGGGAACAAAGTTCACTCTGTAGAATAATAATTGACCAAAAACAAATGGAAAATAGAAAATGCAGCGAGGATTTGCAAGTGTGTCCCTGTGTAAAAATGATTACAACAGAGATTTAACTCACACTGTTTCCTTCCCATATAAGATCCTCTTCACCTGGGCCAGCTCAGCCTCGGGCAGGTGAGACTCCAGGGATTTCTCCACRGACTCAAAYTCACACGAGGACATCTTTGCAGCTTTTTCAAACGTGGAGCTCCCAGCAGCGAGAGAGAAGAGCTTAAATTCTCCTTCTGCACGTGTTCATCTGTTTGCCTTGTTAGATAATGATCAGCGCTTTGTAACGAGAAGGTTTACTGAGGCTGACCTTTGCACAGAGGCTCTCCACCCTGCAGCCGCTGCTCTGACTCAACTCAAAGACAGAGGGGCATGTTGCAGCAAGAGCACCATGCAGCACTTCTTGTTTTACAGCTTGGATTTTAATCAGATTGTAATCAGTTATTCTCAAGAAATACTTCACACTAATAAAGTTAAATAGGGGATAGAAAGAAAACAACTGACAGATAGAAAACTGCCTGTTTTTAATTGAATGGTTTTGTTTTTATGTACACTTGAATTTATCTTAAATTTAAAATAAAACCTTTGAGTTTATTGGATCAGTATTTTGAAGGTTTTGCGCTCATTCTGATGTTGTAAGCTTGTTGAAAACATTACACAGTMTGAAACAATAAAAAACATTGTGCAGCCATGAAGAAAAAAAGGAACATAATTTGTTTTAATCAATGCATTAATACGTTTTATTTGTTGTTTCCTAACTTGTGTTTGTTGTGCAGATTAATAACAGACGGTCACCTAATTTCCATGTTAAATTAGACTGATTTTATTGTATATGTTGTATCACCAGTTTTACTCCAAATCATTTCTATAAAGAAATAAAAACAATATTTTAATCCTTTAGTTCTTGTTAAATGAGGAGTTTTGGTTGTTTATTGAGGTTGGCCACTTCCTTCAACAGTTCTGCAACAACCTCGTGGTTTAATAAATTGTTTCTTTGCTAAAAGAAAACTGGAGCAGACAAGCAGCAGAGGGCCTCAGTGGGACACAGTTTGTTGTGGTGTTCTGATGGACGGAGCAGACTCACAGCAGACTCGTAGGAGGATTGGATCCTCCTCAGATCCAGGTTCATCATCGCTGCTGTCCATCAGATCCACACAATCTGCAGGGTTTTTTGTGGTGTATTTTCCTCGGGAAGACAGTAAAAGAAAACACATTATTGAAAGAAATAATTACAAACAGCAAACATGTATGGGAGAGACAACAGCAGAGTGAGGAAATGTGCTCAGTTTGTCCTCCAGCAGTCTGAGCCCATAACAGTAAAACTAAGGAATAACTAAGGAAACCTAAGTCTAACTATAGGATTTATC